ACTAGCTCCCTCCCTAGCACTGTGATTCCTTTCTACGTAAGTCTTTGTCAATTCCATGAACAAGGAGGGCAAGAGGGACAAAAGATGAGCTGAACTGACAGTTGCAGAGACGATCCTACTTTTTTCACATAAATCCATACTTTCAGCAGTTACTTTTTCAATTATGTACAAATAAGTCTCTCTGTCCTGTTCATGTTATTTTCCTAAGTTCTTTCGGATAAATTTGGCAAGGATGGCAAAAAGCGCAAAATGGAACATGAACGTAAGAGAAATAGGGGTGCATCCCCCAGTTACTTAAGGTTCAAACACTCCTATGGCAGGGTCGATGGCTGACTGCAGGAGAGCTGCAGTCTCGAAGCCAGCACCATGAGCTCTCTCTGGGCAGCCTGAAACCAACCTCACCTGGAGAAGGGTGGGGAGGGCTTTTCCTGCTCCCCTCTGACAGCAGTGAAGATGTTGTATTAATAATAAAAGATGATCATTCTGAAGGCCTATTATGTGTAAAGAATGAAACTAGATGTTTTACTGACATTTGACCTGTAAAGCCAACAAGGTAAATATTATTTCCCTTATTTTGCAAGTGAGAAAACTGAAAGACAGATCCTCTGAGAAAAGTCTCAAAGTGGCACACCTTGAGAATGGGAGAAAAGCTGAAGTCCTTGGATTCTTTCCAGACTGCTATCTATTTATTTATACACACACACACACACACACACACACACTCTCTTCTTAAATCAGAGCATCAGTAGCAATACAACATCATCTATCACTGAGCACTTACCATCTGTCAGGGGGTAGGAAGCTCCATTTACGGACTTACACGTGGTTAAAGAAAAGTTAGAAAGAGATTGTTTTCCAGAAAGGGACCACTATTAGTGATGATCAGTGGAATTATCAGTGGGAAGATCCCAGCAACGCCTCACTGTATCTTCCTAGCATGTTTTTCCCTCAATTAAAAGCAAAGAATGGGAGTGTGCACTGGACTTTTCCATAGTATCTCGCACTAGGAGTTGGGCAGGCCATGCAGAAACTGAGCCAGGCTTCAAGAAGCCACCTTTCACAACACCCCATGAACAGCCTTCCCAGGGGACCCCTGATTTCCAGGTTAGTCTGCATATACCCGATCTCCAGGAGAAGGGCTGTCATCCAGATTGTTCAGGGCATTTTCCACCCGGGCCAGGCGGCCTGACAGCGACAGCAGAAGGTTCACCACTTTGTCCAGGTCCCCGATGAACATGCGGAACTTGTCGAACTCATTGGGCTTGCAGACGTCTTTGGCGATGGCCTCCACCTCATCCCCCAGCGCATTGTTGGCCTGGATGTCCTCCAGCAGGCTCTCCCGGGCTTCCCGGAGCACCTGCAGCTTGCGACCAATGCTCTCGATGAGTTCCTGCTGTTGGGGACAGGGCAGCACAGAAACATGCATTAATCAAGCAAAAAAATAGGACCCACCAACACCACAGAGAACTGTGATATGTGGCATTTGCTTATTGAACTAGAAATGTAAGCCTGCTGCAAGCTCACAGCAACCATTCAGTCCTGAAGCAGTCATTTCTGGTGAGATCCTGAAGCAGGTGCACAGAGCCGCATGGGTGAAGGTGAGCAGCGTGGGGGCACGCTGCTCCCGAGTTCATCCCATCACGGAAAACAAGATATGCATGTAAGGAATGTAGTTCTCTACAGCTGGGGTGTGCCTAAATTAAAATGGTCCAGATGGCACAGTTCTTCTGGCTTTATGAGGATAAACTGGAAATACTTTTGATATTTTTTTAGATGAAAATACAACCAGAATAAAACAGTATCCTGAGCCAGAGAGAGGGCCTCTAAAAGTCCCTACAACAAAACCCTTACTTTTCACTTGTTTTTAATCCCTTGAGCCAAAAACTTATTATTTCTTAAATTGAAATAATTTTCCTTTACATATATTATGAGGCTCAATATTTCCTCCAGAACACGTTTATCATAATTGAAATCAACCAGTGGTATTTTTTAAAAATCACTAATGACACTAGTAGACTTTCAACATAATTGTTT